CGATGCTCAGCTTGGGTCCTGCCATGGCCTCCCGTCGCTGGAGGTCACGGTCCTGCCTGGAGGGGTGATGGGCAGCAGGAGGATGGGGAGAGAGCGGAGCTGGCCGTGGGAACACGCAGCCTGGAGCAAGGCTGAGCTCAGGGCCCGGGGGACGGGGGTGACCTTGGTGGGACACCGACACCTTCAATAGTAGAAGCGTCTTCCGACTCCTGGCTGCCCCCCAGCTGAAGGCAGGTCTGTGCCTCACCCCAGGATCCTCAGGGCTCTCGTGAGGCTTCATTCACTCTTTGCAACGTGCGTATAGACACCAAGTTCAATCCCTTCAAAAACCCCACGGATTCAACCTACAGCAGGTTTGCGGCACAGCCAGGAAACAATACAAGTGCTAAAAGCAGTGGCCCTCAGCTCTTTTCCACCTCAAAACCATGCAGGGCTTTATGCCTCTACAAAAGCTCTGTGTATGTGTACACACATTCATTAGCTGTACTGATGCACACGATAAATACAGTTTTCTTCCCGCCTATGTTACAATGAAGGCCCCACCGGAGCTGCCCAGACATGCCTGGACTTCTGTGGTAGCAGCCAAGGAGGGAAAAAAACTGTGCTTGGATACTGTAAAACCTGTCTGCAAAGCTGCAGAGAGCACAACACGAAACACACGGGGTATTTGCGAAGGGGACAAGGAGCACAGCTGATACAACGCTGGTCTCCGCACCTTTTTTTTTTACCAGCGAAGGGTTGCCTGACACTCACTTCTCCGGGGATGGATTCCCCAGGTAGATGTTTCTAAAACGCATAGTCCTCTATTACCCAGCCTTCCACAAACGAGCTCATTAAGGCAGAAGAGTATAAAAGCACCATCACCACATCCCAGCTCGGGCACCCAGCAGCGGCACACCCCGGGGGACGAACAGCAGTAACGGCACTGAGCGACAGGGGATTTGGGGCACATGGCTGCAAGAGCTCTGCGAGGCTCGTGTCTTCCCTCCAGCATCCCTCCCAGACGCTACCAATATTTGCACGGCTTTTAGGGACAAAGGCCTGCCTGCGACTCAGGCACAGGACTCAGCAGATTTCAGTTTGGTCCCCAAATCTGCTGCAAAATGCCCTGTGCAGCCCCTTCCTTTGCTGCCCATCAGCAAAATACCAATTTTTGCAGTATTTCCCTTCATCTGTGGTCACTGAGCTGTAACCGCGTTGCAGCAGGGGTGTCCTGCTGTGTGCGGAGCACGACCTGTCCCACGCCCGGCTGAGATGATCAGCAAGGTCCCAAACCTTCCCCGCGCAGAGCAGGCATTTTAGCACAAGCTCTGCTGATGCAAAACTGATGTTAAAGGGATTTAATTCTGTTTAAAACTCTACCCTGCCTCCACCACAGGGAATGCTGAAGAGAGAGCTCAGATCACACAGACGAGAGGAGAAAAGTAATTGGAATCTGTGCAAGCCAGTCACTTTCTCTTCCTGATTATTAGCTTTAACCCCATTATTGCTTAAGTAACACCAGTAGTGGCATTTTCTGGGAGGCACTGACTTTTCTACAGCCAGAGAAACACAGCCCCAGCCAGGAAAGACTTCTGGGGCTGGGAGGATTGAAATCTGAACAGTGACTGGGGCACAAAACAATCCTGTCCAGCTCCATGTGGTCAGTGCGCCAGGGAAGGAGCCAGGTTGTTCGCCGAGAAGAAAATCCAATGCGGGGCCAGCCCTTTGGG